GCTCGTATCAAAATAATCCGTATGTGTCAAATACCTCAGCATGCATCAACGGGAAATGTTTTCTTCTTTAAATGCACGTTTTCTGATGATTAGAGTATTCGCTTCTTTTCTGCGTTTGTAATCTATGGTTGAATTTATTTACAAATAGGATGTATAGCGTATATCTATGTCATGGTTACCATTTGTTTCCACGCTCCACAAGCAAGCATTCCGCTTTGATTTCATAACGAATGTGTTTAAAGCAGCATGCCTTTAGATTCGTGCTAATATTCATGAAAATTTGAAATGTAAAAACAGTAAAAAAATGCAATGTGAACAAAGAAAGTAATTTACACATTGATAACGGCACGTACAATCTACATAAGTTAGCAGAAATATGCTGCGTTAGTCATGTAGTAGAAATATGGTGATAAATACTACTAAGTCAGCCAATAATCGCACATATTAAGCAAGTCATAACTTGAATTTTTAATCTATTTTACTTCTCTTATATCTAAGTACGCTTTTCTGAAAAGTTGAAAGTTTAAGAAAGGCCTTAAAATTGTTGTAGTGTATGAAATGTTCTTTGGTGTAACAGTCAATTTATTTGTTTGGACAAGGGAAATGAATCTACACATATTGTATGAGCATGGGCCTTTTTTATTGTTCCCCTTTTTTGATATAAAACTTCTTATTGGTTTTATGAAATGTATTTGTTTGTTTGATTTTTATTTCTTTTTAGCATGTAGGAAGTAATAGTGTAGGAAGTAATGAAAATCGCCATTTGAATTTCTACAATTTTTTTTACTTTTTATATACAATAATCACGGTTTTTTATATCTTTTTTCCATTATATTTATATTCTTATTTTCTTTTTTAATTGAATAATGGCATTCTTATATCTTTTGTCATATTATAATAGTTATACTTGTACACTTTTTTTTTTCATATTATAATGGTTTAAACTATAAAAATCATAAGATGAACTGACCCCCCCACACACACACACACACTCTAGAAAAACAATGAAAAAGACATAACAGTTGAATTCAGACGATGCCAAGTATTATATCATAACAAATAATCATCTAAAGGCTATTGAAAAGAATAGGAATGGATGGATTGATGTCTGTCTAATATAAATATTCATCATTTAAAAAGAGGTACATTGTACCATGTCGTTTTTCTGTTGACATCAATGCTATAAGTGAGACATTCGTGTTTTAAGACACTATTTTTTACTTGAGAAATAGGTTCACGGGCGCCGCCATTTTGGCGTTCTGTCATTCTCGCGAGACAGACGAGACCGAGATTGTGACGTGTTACACCCACTTTCGGTATAGGTGTACACGCTAGTACAGCTGAAATATATCTTGATGAAGAACTTATTAATCTTATTGCGTACATTATATATTATTTATAAAAACAGCATCTGGAACTGAATTGCCTTAATTAATTAATTGAAGACGCCGCGACATTAATTATCATTTGTCCGATTTTCAAGCTCACCACATGATTTACGCAATGACTGCTTTATTTTCAAAGATAAACCATCAATTTAATTTGGGTACTATGAGAAACTTCTTCAAATTGACGATATATGCTTTTATTTTGTACTTAATTTTCGCTAGACAAGCTGTCCGAATAGGGTACATCGCCGGTCATATGTATCTTTTTTTCAACGTAAAATATCAACAAAATTTAATATGCAGAGATCTGCTTATGACGCGATTTTCCGCCATTGACGCTAAAAATGAGAATGGCGCAGGAAAACCGGCAGCCAGACATATATCGTATGAAAACAAAACTGTCCGTTAGGTTATTTAGGCACCCAGTCAAAACTGGTACCAACAGCAACAGATTGCCCATTCCCCTGTAATTACGCATATTCTCGGGTTTATCCAGTTCCCTATAGCTTTTTTCCACACTATCTACTTACCCAATCCCTTTCCCACACAGATACGCATTTCTTCTACCGTAAATTTAATCCAATAAAACAAAAAATCATAAATCTACTGAATATTTAAAATGATTATTGGTACCTGAAAAAAATGCGTTGCTATTTTATGAAATGCTGTAATTTACGGTGTGGAACATAATTTACCCTAAGGTCATTCAGTTCACTGATGAAGCGTAAAAAATAGATGACTATTTCGTCAATAGAAGGGTGATTAACCAATCAGGGTAACATTTTGCATGATCAAAAGGTCTGTCGGCACAGAGGCATACAAGGAGCAATAAAAATCATCAGTACACAGTGTGAAAGGAACATTTGGTGCAAATTAGGAACAATTAAAATGGATAATGAACAGTATTAGACAAAAGTAGTAAGAACCAGCAATTGTGTCAATAAATTATGCAAATTAGATTTTTGAACAGTCAATAAAAATGTTTTGCCTGCAGTTAATATTAGGCTACGATTACGATGTAAATAAATACCACGCAGCATCATACGTTAACAGACATGTTAACAATTTACTTTTCAAAAGAGTTGCTTATATTTTTGAAATGTGTACATCAATTATAACATATTATGTTCTCACCTTTTAATTTGAACGTCAGAATCAAATTGCAAAACTTTAATTACATGTACTTTTAAGAACACGTTTTAGTAGGATTTTTATAATAATGATAATTAAAATTATCGCCGCTCAATAATGAACAGCCAATATTCGTTGGTGCGTTTGTTTACTTAATTGCATTATTAGATTGTGTAACTTTGTTAAATAATAACATGTGTATTTATTAAATCTGTGAAATATTAAGATGAGACTTTAGTGAACATAGCATTGTTTGGATTAACGGGCATCACTGGCCTGAAGTGGTGCGACAAGTAGACGTTGATTTTTTTTTTGTTTTTTTATTTTATTATTTTTTTTTTTTTATTTTTTTTTTATTTTTTTTTTGGATATTGTTACTTATTTTGAACCATAAAAATCTCCTCTACACCTCCTGTGAAAATGAAATTGTCTGGTCAATACTTTATTATATTAATATTTCGCTACGATTCAATTAGATTTATCATAAATCTAAAGATGTGGGGAAATGACATCACGCGCACCTGTTTTATAACGGCCAATACACAAACATGGCCGCGCCTACTGATTTGTAGAAATCGGTGATTTAGCGATTTTAATTTTGTTATCATTCGTTAAATATTATTACTTGGCGGCAGAAAATTTGCAGATTTATTATTTATAGTATTCTTTTTCTGAAATCAAGTTTTTATTCTAACCTGGTCTTTCCCTTTAAAAATGATAAACAGCGATTTGTTTACAACTATACGATAGATTAAATATCATGTACACACGGTACATATTTAAAGAAAATAGATACATGCAAATAAGGACATAGTGACCTACTACAATATATTGAACATAAAGAAGAAACTGAAAGAGTCCCTTTGGTACTGACGTTTTACCGAGTGCTCCCTTTTTTAGGGCAAATGTTACTTAAACACAAACTAGAATTACAAGACAGGAAATATTTCCTAATCCTCCAATTATGGACTTTAAAACAGACAATAATCTACAGGATATACTAGTTCAAAAACAACACAGACAATTCTTTCAACAGCCGAACACCATGGTGGGCGATGCCCAATGCCGTTATGTCAGTTTCCTTGCCTTGTCTGAATATATTTGTATGTTTAATAATAAAAGCCACCGAAAAAGAACGACTGGAAATTCAAATTAGCGATTATATTGTATAATTAATAATTAATATGTTTTTATTTGGTGTCGTCTGTATTTATTTCCCGTTTTAATATTCATTTATTTCATTGTCCATGATTGTCCATAATTTTCATATCCTTGAATTTTAAGTAATTAAAACAGATTACATATTGCCAATTTATGAACTTTTATAAACGACAGAGCAGTTTATATGATGTGTATAATTAGAATTTACTTTTATATTCCAAACATGAGAAAACAGTTATAGACTAAAAGACCAAGAAAACGCCAGCCTGTACTTGTATTACATATTTTTTCACGAAAATGATTTACGAGAAGGGATTCCATCAAATGTTTCTCATTTAACTACTTTTTTGAACATTAACTTGAATATTAAAAATATTAAAAATGTTAAAAACTGTATTCACAAAAGCCCGTTAAAGCAGCACGCCTCTAGATTCATGCTAATTTTCATGAAGATTTTGAAAATGTGTTTAAAACTATAATTTAGTGAAATTACCATAAGGAAGCAATTAAAACATTATCAATTGCACCTACAACTCACGTTAATTACTAAAAAGAGGAATAAATATGCAAAAATTGCCCTATCTGCTTTATTAACGCAGTAGAAATTAAGTTATAAATACTGAAAAATCAGTCATAAATTGCACATAACATGTAAATTATTACTTCAGAAGAAAAAAGGACCAAACGAAAGCAATGTTATTGTTCTGAAAATTGAAATAAAAGCAAAGACTTTTAGGAACCATGACATTTCGTTATTTTTACAATCTATTTACAAAATTTAATAGTCAAAATTGTTACCTTCGATTTTTGGATGCGATAATTTTATAATCATATTAACAATGTAAGATTCTTTTATGTGTAACTGACGGTCATAAAAATGTTAAAATAAATGTGTATAAATATATTGATTTTCTAAACGCCTTCGATTTAAAAATACTCATACACAAATCGTTGAATATCTAATTCAAAGGCTTTTCCTTGTCTCAATCTCTGTCCATTACACTTCATGTTACCTCATTCGAAGGTGTTTATAAGGTGTTTAAATTAAAAGAAAGTATGCATTTAGTTTTTTTTTTGCAGAGTACGTGCAATACAATACTCCAACCCTCTGTCAACAGGTTTGCTATTTTGAATTTTGTATCTATCCAAATGTGCATTGTGTTTTAAAATGAAAATATGCAATTTTTGAAAAGTCAATATAATTTGTTCAAGCTTCTATAGGAAATACTTTAATTGTCACTCATAATGGCAGCCATCTATTTACCAGTGTTAAATTTGTTAAACTATAAAACAACACAAAGGTGAACTACACCCCCATAAACATATTTAAGCGAGAAAAAGATAGACTGTAAAAATAAACCAGTTTGCAAACGTAAAAGGCTTTCAAAACAATCGGTTATCTAATACATTCTATCAATGGATATCTTCAAAATATAAATAGAAACGTTTAGCCTATCAGAATAAGAGTTTGAAAGGAATGTTAGGTGGTAAATCTACTTACTTTTACAATCTCATTCGACCGTTGTTTATAAGAGAAACAAATGTTGACTTGCTTAAAACGCTCGGTGAATACTCGGACATAATATTAGTATATGCACTCCTAATAATGTTAATTAGCAACATTTTTATAGATGCAATAAAATGCGTTTAGACATTCGACTTTTTTCAGACATTTGATAATATTTTAACCTGACAATATGAAATGTGTAGTGTTGCTCGCGTGCATTATCTGTATAGTTGATTCAACATCTCTTTCATGTGGACCTGATGGATTATGTCAGTGTAAAAATATAAATGTTATGGATTGTTCCGAAAATAGTCATTTATCATTACGGAAGGTATGTGACTTCGTGAATAACAATAAAGATGTCAACATTACTATTTTGCACCTTGAACAAAATAGATACAAATATATTCGGACAGAAGACATTAAAGGATGTAAGTCACTGAAAAGTCTTTATCTTAGAGGAAACGAAATAAGCTATGTTGAAGATGTTTCTCTGATAAAGTTTGATAATCTAAAGACGCTTGATATGAGCTTTAACCAGCTTGATGTTTATAACAAAAGAGGGACACTAGCATTTAAACTTCCGCAGTCTTTAAAACGGCTTGTGCTGAACAGAAATCTAAATGTTTCGAACTATGATGGTGCTTTGTATCCGGACCTGTCGAATCTAACTAATATTGAACATATCGTTCTTGATGGACTGAAAGACACAAACTTTCCTGTATCTTACAGCAAAATTCAATCATTGCGTAGTGTATCGTTGTCAGGTTTGGATGGAAATTGTAGTATTCCTTATGTTTCAAATGACACATTTCAATATCTCACTCATATAAGAGCATTGAATTTGTCGTATTGTGATATACAAAATTTAACAGCTGGATCATTTAAAAAACTTCAGAATTTAGAAGTTTTAGATTTGTCTGAAAACATGAATCTTGGATTTGGTAATGCAATGAATGCAACATACGGTTTACAGTTCACAAAGATCAAATCGTTGAATGTTTCTAAACTCTATCCAACATTCGGTCTTGGAACTCAAATAAAGTTACAAGATATGTGTTATCTTTGGAAAACGAACTTAACTGAACTTGTTTTAAATGATAATAGAATTCAATTAATAGACACAAATGTTTTAATATTGGCGCCAAACACTTTGAAAATAGTACGAGCAGAAGGCAACAAGTTTACTTTTGGGCCATATTTATACCAACTAGGGTGTTTGTCAAGTTTAGAAGAATTCTATGGGAATTTCCAAAATCTTGCACGTGATCCACGCTTGTATATGAAAGAGCCGCCTAATACAGATGATTCCGGACTGATACCTACGAACTTAAATTGTCCATATGCTGCGCCAAATGTATTGAAAAATATAAGTGAAATGAAAAACAATAAAACGTGTCCGTATTTGAAGGACAATAATATAAACATGACCGAAAGATTACCCACATTTCCAATGGGAATGAAAAGACTGGAATTTTCTAATTGTGGCATACAGTACAATTTATCTAGTTTGTTAGTACCTCCAATTCCCGATAAAATGGAATATCTTGATGGCTCAGGTAACATTTTATACTCCTGGATTGGGCCTCTTGGCCCTTTTCCAAATGTTAAATATCTTAACCTATCTCGCAATTATTGTTCGCAGATTGGACTGAAATTCTTTGAAAGCTTCCAAAATCTTGAAGATCTTCAGATTCAAGAGAACTTCCTAGGTTTAGTTCTTTCAAATAAGTATTATGGACCAAGTGTATTTGAAAAGTTAACGAAGTTAAAAGTTATGAATTTATCATCAAACATTATATCCTATCTACATCCTGCTGCATTTTCAAACATGTCACATCTGACGACATTAGACTTAAGTCTGAACAACATTGAGTCGTTGGATATTGACGTTGGTTCCTTAAATAATTTAACGAATTTGAACTTAAAATTTAATTTTATCCACACGATCCCGTCTCATCTCAGGGAGAAGCTGGAACTTAATTCTAAACGTCTCAACAAGAACTTCACGGTTGATCTCAGTAACAATACTTTGTCAATAAGTTGTGATGAAAAGGACTTTTTGGAATGGATGGTTAAACATAGAAAGAATATGCTTAATTTCGATCATTACACTTTCCACAACATGTCTGGTCAACGTGTGAGTGTGGAAATGTTTGTAAAAGATGTAATGGAACTTGATAAGGATTGTGGTTCATACAGTATAATAATTGTAGCTTGCTCTATAGGTATATCCGTATTTCTGTCAATTGTTATTGGTGGTGTAGTATACAAGAATAGGTGGAACTTACGTTATCTTATGCGCATAACTAAGATCAAGCATTTTGGTTATATCAGACTACATCAATACTTTAACGAACCAGAAAGGTTCGTGTATGATGCTTTTATTTCATATGCAAATGAAGATGTACGTTTTATCCTTGACGTAATGATGCCAAAACTAGAAGGACAAGGCTTAAAATTGTGTTTGCATGATAAAGACTTTTTACCAGGTAACAATATTGCTGACAATATTCTACAAGCCATCGGAAATAGCAGAAAAACCGTTGCTGTTATATCTGAGCAGTTTCTAAAAAGCGAATGGTGTTTGTTTGAGTTCAATATGGCAAGAATGGAAAGCATTTACTCTCGTGGGGGTAATAGTTGTCTTATAATTGTTATATTAGAAGACGTTCCAACGCGAAATATGTCCAATGAAATGTTGGACTGGATGAGAACCAATACATACATAGAGTACACAAGAGAGGAAAATGGTGAACTACTGTTTTGGGATAATTTCCTGCAAGCTTTAAATGAATGAAACATCATAAAATGAATTCGCCCATTTCTGTATACCGGTTGTAAACTTTTTGCGAATTAACATGCTTTAAGAAGAGGTAACTAAAAGAAATATAGTACTCAAATTTAATGCAAGCGCAAGCCAATTGTCATTTCCGGAGTAAAATGTATATCCGTGTTACTGGTATTTTTATTTGTAATGTACCCTTCACCAGTTCTCATCATAACTGTATATTCTAAATGTATTCATCACATGATTATTTTCTATGTAATTGTCTAGTGTTATTTGCATGTTTGGTAATAGATATCGAAAATTGGTATATTAATCTATATGTATTTACAAATATCGTGTATCAAGTTTTTTTCGCGTATGGCAAATTTTGCGATATTGGCAGTAATCTCATTTTAGAGAATCTGATTTTAGCGATTTTGTTGTACATGTTTCTTGTTCTGCATTTATCTGCTGAATATAAAACTTGAATATCGAAAATTGATATTTGATACATTGATATCTCGGTATCACAATATAAAATGAATATGACTAAACTGGGTAGCAAATTTAAAGTAAAAATCAAGTACCAAAATCATACGTAATTAAATTAGGTATTAAAATTAATGAAATTTTAGCGCGATATTAATAACACTCGAATATAGCTAAAATTAAATACTTGTAAAAAACGCGGTAAACTGTAATATATAATTCCTATATCATCATTATGTTTAATATGTGGTACTTTTCTCATGTTTTATTGAACCGCCGGACATGGCGATGGACATTGTGAAATGTTTTTGTCAATAAAAAATTGAATCTTGTGTCCTGAATGTTTCCTTTGATGCCATGAAATACATTATATTATTATAAACACCTTATGGTGATTGCAAGTGTTTGTTCTGCGTGCGTACATCGTTGTTGTTTAAGCAATTTATTTTTGTATGGGTTAGTAAATAACTGATATTATTCTACCATTACCTTAAATAATAAAAGAAACACCCCGTGTTCTTACATAAACATTCAGTTTTGTTAAGAAAGGAAAATATAATACTAGCTCGAACTGATGTGCATCTGTTAGCAGATAAGCCGTTACATGCTTACTAGTTTAGGGGAAACAAAACAACTAAAATTTGTGAAGTGTAATTGAGCAGTATTTATTTTGCCATGAAAAAAACAGGTAGTTAAAATATATTTATTTTCAAGAGTTTAAATTATTGTCATCAGATAATTATGTTGAAATAGTCCTCGATCCGAGACTTATTTCGTCACATGGTAGCAATTGATATGCTAATGAAAATAGTGATTGTTTTACCAAGATTGTCTACTTTTCTAAAAGGATGCAAATTTAAAAAAAAAATATTTTAAAATGCGGAAGCATTTACATGATTTATCAGTTTAACGCCGTGCTTATTTTTTCTTCCTTTTTTAATCGTAATTGTCGTAAATGGATCTTGTTAGATTTTTAAAAGCTTTTCAACAGTTAGTAAACAGGAACGTATAGCATTTCTTCTTTTTTTAACGTTTACCAATTACCGATAACACGCAGGTTAATCTATAATATTTGTACGATTTAGAGGAAAGACACTCGAAAAACTTTTATCGAAGTTATCTTAAATAAAGATTGATTGACAATAAGACAGTTAGTTCGCTTATCGATTTTCTCCGGCTATCAAAACTATTATATATTTAACGGAACATTGATCAGTAATGTAAAAAGAATTTTCTTGTTGCTATCTTTTCAAACATGAGGCTCAATGAGTAGATTTACTTTGACAGGAAAAATGCATTGGGTTTAAACAAATGTACCTGGTTTCTTGTTAAATAATAAAATATTAGAAATAATTGGTGATAGGCCTGTATTAAAATAATCCTTGTGTGTCAAATAGCACAGCGTGCATCAAAGGGAAAAGTAGAACAACAACTTTTCGTTTTTGACATGTTTTCTGATTAAGTAAAATATTCGCATCTTGTCTGCGTTTGTATTTTTCAATTGAATTTGTTTACAAATAGGATGTATAACGTATATTTATGTCATGGCTACCATTTATTTCCACGCTCCATAAGCAATCATTCCGACGATGCCTTTAGATAGATTCATGCTAAATTTTATGAAAATTTGAAATGTATAAACAATGTTATATTGCAATGTGGACAAAGAAAG